AAGTTTTACATTATAAATTTTATTATAATTTAGTATTTAAATTTAAAACATATTTAAAATTAAAAAATAAAACTCAAATTTTATATTTTACTCTCATTTATTCATCTTTTTTGCATTTTGTTATATTTATATTCTTTGAAAATTTCAAATTTTGATTAAGTACATTCAGTATTAAACTTGAAATAGGCATTCGATGTTGATTTGGTTATAACCAATAACCGAAATATTAAAATCGATTATTTTTGTTACTAAACCAAAAAATCTGTAAAAAAATTTAGTTAGGTTTTGGTTACTAAAAATGAAAAAAAAAAAAAAAAAAAAAGATAGTTCAAAATTTGATTTCGGTTAGACCGAAATCGAACCATGCCCAAACCTAAAAAAGAATCATTTATTTGTTCTTGGAGAGGTCCTCTATAATTAATTTTCAATTGAAAATAGAATTATTTATTTGTTGTTGTTCCCTCATTCCAACTACTACAGTATTTTCATGTGTGTTCTAAAGGCCAGGCAACCTAATGATTTAAATTTTCATATGTATTAATGTGAAATTTTTACCATAATATTGTAGAGATTTGGGTGAATTTTATAAAATTTTATTTTATTTTACATAATTTTCATTTAGTATGTAAGAAAGGACTAAATTGGAAGAAATTAAAACTTTTAGAACCAAACGGAAAGGCTCAGAAATATAAGTTTTAAAGTGCGCAAAAACTAGAAGTTAGGAAACAATATTGTCATTTTGCCATTAAACAAAATTGCATTTTGGCATCAAAGTAAAATAAAATAAAATAAGGCATTTTGGCACAAAAGTCCGACCCGACTCTTTCTTCACCGATTTAGTAAGGTGTCGGTACTTCAGCATTAAGTGTTAACCCCTCCGGCAATTTTCATCAACTCCACATAAACTTTTATTATTTTGGTGTGGGTGTCGACGCACTTCAATTAGAGTTTCTTACTTCTAATCCTAAGTACTCATTTAAGATTATCTCGATGGAAAATATCAACATAATATAACGGGAAGTACATCTAAAAAGAAATTACAAGAGAATGATATATTTTTATCTATAAAAAAAAAATTTATAACCATTAATCATTAAAATTAACAGATTTTTTCATATACTGAAAATTATCAATTTTACTATTATATTCATATTATATTACAAGAATTTCATTTAATATAAACAATCAAATTATAGACACTAAAACAACTTTATTTTTATAAAATTTGTGATTACTTGATTAAATTTTAACATT